GAGGAGTATGTTATAATAATTATGTAAAAATTTCATCCGGGTTATTTGCCACTAAGTTATTATATTAAAAAAAAAAATACAAACACGAATGCACTAAAAAATATTACCATATGTGCTGGAAACAAATGCGCCAAGGTTTTTTCTCGGTGGAATTTCTTTGATCTGTGGACCAACATTTCCATTGATACCATTTATGGTTATATCTGGTTTGGAAACTGCGGGAATAGGCATCTCCATGGTTCCAATAACAGTTGTCGTATTGGTACTGGTTGCAGGTGCCGCCTTCGGACTTTCAACTGGTCTTTTGGCTAAAGAAATGTGCCTTTCACGTACCGGTGTCGAAAAGGAAGGAGTTAAGGAATCTTGAGGGTTCTTGTTAGCTGCGTTGATTGCAATAGGAGCTGGCACATTCTTTCGATGAATTGTAGAAGATAAAGTACTGGTAACAAGTTCAGGTTGATGTGATGACGATACAGGTTTAGCTGGAGCTTTTCCTTCCGAATTCATTCTCGCTTCTCGAAGACTAGTAGGAATCAAGCGAGCTTGATCTTCGGCTTTGAGAAGCTGGAGATTACTATCACTAGAAACTCGTGAAACTGATGGTTCTACCAATGACGCTTTACTACTTTTTGCACTTGATATCCGATAAGGACTAGATCATAATATAGTATATTACATCAGATCAATAACAAACTTAAACATACGTTATTTAAAATTACCTTGGTGTCCCGACAACATTCTAAATAGACAATGTGTATTAAAAAAATATATGATGCAATGAAATAAACTCTAAAGCAATATTAATTTTTAAACATACTGTTTTATCAGGCAGAAGAGGATTGTTTCTTATAGTGTGCCCATCGGAATTAATTGGCATGACAAAAACATTATGGGGTGTTATGCCCAAGTTTTTCAATACGATGGATCCGTCCTAATTTAAAATATTTAAATTAAATTAAAAGTATAATTAAGTTAAAAATAGTTATCTTACTCTACCTCCATCTTGATACTCTCATCCAATCTTGGGCGAGTACTTGAGTACAAATTAATGATATAAATTAATGACATTTATTTAAATCCAGTTTATCAAAAACATGTATGGACTTACTTCATTTTAGAAACAGATAATTTATATATATAATCTCTCATTGCAATTATTTTTTCTTCGTCTTCGTATGTCATGCCAATGTTCCTCATTGTTTCCAAGTTCTGTTCATCCCTATATTATCGAAAAGTTTTTTTTTTTTTTTTAATATAATAACTTAGTGGCAAATAACCCGGATGAAATTTTTACATAATTATTATAACATACTCCTC